TCAATTCTCGTCCAAACGGCAGCCACAGAGTCGAGCTCCCTTCCACAGGTACCAGCAAAACCACCTAGCTGATAGCCCTCGGGTGCAGTGTCCCTTCCTTTGTCCTTCGTGGGGTTGCCTCCAGAGATGTGATTGCCCTTGTTGGTGGCGAACTGTATGTACTTGATACGTGTGTGATCGCCCTTCTCGCCCCAATGTGCCTCCATCGCCGTAATGTATTCACCGTCACCTAAGGTGAGCACACGTGGTTTGCCCTTAGGCCCGCCATGGTATAGGGTGGTCATCAACTTTGTGGCATCGGTGAAATCGATGCCGACACCGTTGATGCGTTCGCCAGCGCGGATCGTGATGGCCTTCACGGTTTGTCCAGGACCAATTAGGTCCACGTCCGAGTACTTGGTGCCGTGGGGACCGCCGAAAGCCTCGCCTAGGTGAACACCTTCATCCATGACAGCAGCACTGTGCGTGACCAGCGCCGACAGCGCTAACACGGGCAAGACAAACTTGGACAGCATGTTTGGTCAATAGTTTGGGTGGTAGCTGGATTGTCGTCTACAGCGAAAATTGAGGAATGACAAAACATGTTTAGGCCTTCTGAAGCTCGGCTCAGCTCTCAAAGCGACGGTACAATGAAGGAAGATTTGACGGGATCCGTCGCTCTTGATTTGTTCACTAAAAAGCATCAAACTTCTTTTGTGGATTAATTCGTTTGTTCTAGAACATCTATCCTCGAGGGGTGTTTAGGTCGGCACTCTAATTCATACTCAAATTCAATACCGTCATTTTAACGAATGTAACCCCTGTTCTGGGAGCACCCGCTCACAGAGTTTCCACAGCTATGGAACCACCATTGGTCATCACCAATACACCCCAGCATCGTGTTCCGTTGAACTAGAAAATTTCTATGTGACGTATCGACTTACTGGCACGCATTCACTGATGGCAAGTAGCCGGACCTGGCCACCTAGTCACCGACAGAACTGTGAGCTGTACGGGGCCTATGGACAATTTTTTAGGCAGAGAAAACTGTCGAAAAAACACAAAGGTCACATGCAACCAGATTACATTATATCGCCTATCGTTAGGCACAAGAGGCATATTCACAGTTCGAAGCTGAGAATTCGGAAAGCAATCAGCTCCGAATACTTTTTTATGTTATGATATTGTCTGCAAATAACGATTTGCCCCCAGAAACGACACCCCACGAAGGTGTGAAATTTAACGCAAGCGCACGCTAACACCGATCACAACTTGTGATCAATATCACTGTGCGCTTTGAGAACAAGTGCAAACTGGCTATATTACACCAGGCGGCTTTACATGTACAAAATGTCCCTTTTATAATGATTCATGATCACTAAAAAAGAATGACACCAGCCATGCATATGTGAAACTTAACATAAAGCGCACGCTGACATTGATCACAAGTTGTGATCAATGTTAATGTGCGCTTTGAAAAGAAATGCGTTTTTTTGTTGTCTGAGACCCTACCGGAACCTGGTCTTAATTCTTGCTGAACACAAGTATACCCCTGCGAGTCTAACCATGTTGTTCTCACCACGTCGAAACTAATTATGTGTTTTCAATTAATCACAAATGCTATCTGCTGTTCATAT